CGGTTTTTATAATTTTGTTGACAATACTTTTCGACGTTTAGAAATAAAAGGAAATATCCTTATGTGTACAGTCTATTATACCAAAAGTATTTGCTATAGTTCATCAGACTGTTCAATCTGCGCAAATCTGTATTTTAACTTTTTGTATCGTTATCTCAGAATACAAATATTATTGAAATATCAACAAAAACCAAAGCATCGAAGATTTCTTAAATTTCAGGAATTTAGAGTGCTAGAAGTCGCTGAGATAACTACAGTATTTGCTACCAAAGAATTCTGAACTGTTTTTTCAGGCGTCTGATCAAGTGAAATTTTGAAAGCACTGAAGCAGCAAATTCGGCTTAAACTATACTTACTTACTTATTTTTAGAATTTACAACTTTTAATAGTCGGTATCAAGCTTCATCAATAGATAAAAAAAGAAAAAAGAAATAACTGTGATTAGTCGATGATAATTTAGTGGTGGCTGTAAAAATAAAGCACAGTATACTTTATGATAGATATTTTATTGTTTTTAAATTGAGTTTTTCTTTAATTTCTTACTGTCTAAGCAATTATTCTACTTAACCTGTATAAAGATGACCAATTAGCAAGTGGAAAAAAAAATTTATCTGAACTTTTTAGTTCTGTTATCTAATGCTATCTGATTGTTCAATGCTGTTAAGCAATTTTTTTTCAGGTATTTTTTCTAATTTATGCAAACGACTACTAATTTATTAATTATACTAATTATACTTAGAAAAAATGGCTACTTATTTGTCTTTTAAACAATGATTGTTCTATTTACACGTGTTTATGCAAAATGTAAAAAAAAAGAATGTTTTTGATCAATAAATTAATGAAATATATTGTCGATTACACGTCAAAAATTTTTAGAAACTAAATCATACAAATTTTCTTGTGATCATATTACAAGTCAAAACTTAAAGTAAAAATAAATAACCTGAAAAATCGAGTTTTGACTAGCCAAAAAAAATTACTGTTCAAAGAGCATAAAAATATGTAACAGAGAAATCTTTTGGCTACATCTATAAAATTAAGCCGAGTAAAATGGAAAAGTCCTAAGGTTTATTCATGTGTCAGAGCAATCACTTCCTGTTCGATTCGAGAAACACATCTGATCTGTTACATCCATTAGAAGAGCAGAGTTTCAGAACTGTGATGCAGGATGAAGAAGTACTGTGTGGTATGCGATAAAATGTCGTTCAGAATCCAAAAATCGACTAAACAGCCTTGGCTACGACGATATTTTTAAAAGTAGTTAACACTGGTTGATCGTTGTTGCTGAAAATACTGCTGATGAACTGCTACGAATAAACGGCAAACTGTATTCAGCAATCGATTTTGAATTATAAATAAAAACTGCTTTTTTTTTCTGAAATAATTTGTTACGTTTTTTTTTTATTAATGTAAAATTTTTACAACAAATGCACATATGCTGTGAAAATCTTTGGCAAATAAAAAAAACTAAAATTCAAACACTGAAAAATGATTAAAACAAACATTTTTTTGAGCACTTACCATTATAATCATATAATAATTTTATTATCTCATCAATTTAATCAATTTCACTTTTTTATGATGTTCCCTGAGGGGAAGCTCTTGAAGGAGCAAGCATACTACCTAGGTCACGCCACCGGTGGGATAGGTATAAATAGG